CGCGGATCCAGGCGATCAACGCCTCAGTGACCTCACCCTTGCTGCGCAAGGGGAAGACCGCGGTGTAATGCGAGTAGACGTCAACCACCAGCAGGAAGTAGCGCTCCTGACCCTGCCCACGGACGCGGGCTGGGCCCCACACGTCCATGTGAAGCGTCTGCAGCGGAGCCTCTGTCGGAGGAAACTCGGAGGAGTGAGGGGCAGCGCGCTGCCGCCCCTCAACGCAGGGAACGCAGGTGGGGGCAGGCCCCGGAGGAAGAGGAGGGAGGGACCGGGGGAGGCCGGAGACAAGAAGACGGGAAGCCATGCCTCGAAGACGAGGCAGGGAGGGGTGACCAAGGCGGTGGTGCCAGAGGAGAGTCCGGTGGGACAGGAGACGACACGAGCAGGGGGCAGACTCAGGACCAGACCTGGACGCCGCAGCAAACACCTGACCCGACGCTGCTACCTGAGCAGACTCAGTGACTGGAGGAGACTCAGTAGTCAGTGTGTACAGGCTCGACCCCGGCCGACGAGTAAACGTGGCCAAGTGTCGGCCCGTGTCCGCACAAGTGCAGTGGGTCACCCGCTGACGCGCAGGGGTGAACTGGTCAACTCCTGCATCCTGGAGGTCAGCACCCGCGACCAAGTTCGTAGAGAACGAGGGGAGGTAGAGACCCGACAGGGAGCCAGACGGGACCGCCGGACACGGTAGGACAGTGGAGTAGTGAGCAAGGACAGGACCCCCAGAGGGGTCCGCCAGGGAGACCGCAACAGGCCGACTGAGCGGTGTGAGAGTGGTGCAGTCTCGAAAGAAGGAGCGGGAAGCACCCGAGTCAAGGGTGAAGGTGTGGGTGTGCGGTGACGACTCAGCACCTGAGAGCGCAAACTCACCGGCACCTGGGGCAGCAGACGCACTGGCACCTAGAGCAGCAGCCTCACAAGTACCTAGCGCAGCAGCCTCTATGCCTGGGTCAGGCGGAAAACACCGGTAACAGTCACCCTCATCACTAATAGTCACAGCATACATGGCAGCAAGAATAGCATCAAAATCAAGATCATAGATCGCAACACCCGCCCTAGACAGCTCGCCCCAGCGAGGGATCTCAGTAGCGTCGGGGAACTGGTGGCGCCACGCGTCCGTCAGACGGCCGAAGCAGCGCTGGGTGGGGTGCGCGCCCCCACACTGCTCACCCGCCCGGTCGCCGGTACGGAGAACGTAGGTACAGGGGCCAGCACCCCCGCCCCGCTGACGAGCAGCGTACCACTCACGAAGCTGCTGGGGGGAAGGGGTCTCACGGGTACGCTGCTGCTGCTGCTGCTGCTGGCGCGCACCACCACCGGAGCCACCCCTCTGCGCAGCTCCACCTCGACCAGCTCCACCGCCTCCGCCGCTACCACCTCCAGGACCGCCACCTCCGCCACCTCCGCTCCCACCGCCACCGCCGCCTCCACCTCCACCTCCAGTCCCGCCACCGACGCCCCCACCCCCGCCACCACCCCCACCGCCACCCCCACCCCCTCCACCACCTCCACCTCCGCCTCCACCGCCCCCTCCAGCTCCTCCAGCACCCTTGCCCCCCTTGCCCTTGCCAGAGCGGCGTCTCCCGCTAGGGGCAGACGCCGCAGCGACCGACTCAAGACCAACGAGGTCGGCCGCAGCAGCAGAGGCAACAGAGGGCAAGAGGGGAGAGGGGGAGCACCCCTCAAAGACAGGGGTACGAGGGTCACCACGAGAGGCACCTACAGCGACTATGCTCTTCTCTGCCGCTAGAAGGCGCTCCTCGAGGAGGTCAACGGTGAGGGTGGTGGGGCAAACAGAGAGGAAGTGGTCCCTGACCGGGCGAAGGGTGTCAGGGAGCCGGGTGACTATGTAGTAGAGGGTGATGTACATGGGGGGGGGTTCTTGGCGCAGAACTCAGCAGGAAGCGCAGCGCGGTAGCGAGTGTCACTAGTGCGAAGGTGCGTAATGAGGTCAGCGACAGTGGGAAAAGCGGCGAGGTCAGGGAAGAGGTACGGTAGGATGAGGCGGCTAAGCGCAGCAGTGGCAGGGGAAGAGTAGCGTGCAACTACAGCATCGTACAAGGTCTTAGCACTCTTGTACTGGCTAAAGTGCGCACGCTCAGCGGTCGGCAAGTGGCGGCGCACAGCAAGGCGGGCAGCAGCATCGCGCGTGGCCCACTGGGAGCGAACCGTGGGATCAGCATCAGCAGCAGGGGCAGGAGAGGCACCAGAAGTGAGGTCAAAGAGGGAGAGGCCGTCTGCTCTGTCGCTCAGTAGGAAAAGCTGCAGGTCATCTACCCAGACGTCAAAGTCAATGGCCCGGCCCTCAGCGTCAAAGGTGAGGACACTGGGGGAAGCCATGACAGCAGTAGACTAGCAGTGAGAGCAGCAGGCAGGGGCAGAGCAGTGGTGGAGGCGCTGCTCTGCCCGGGCAGGCGAGAAGGACCGAGGCGCGTCGGCAGGAACAGGGCCGCGACAGCAGGAACGGCGGCTCTGCGGCTCAGCGGCTCGGCAGTTCAGCGGCGGCGGCGTCTCGGCGGCTCGACAGCACGGCAGCAGTGGCGGGTTAGCGGCCCAGCAGCCCAGCGGCAACGGCGGCTCGGCGGCTCTGCTGCGGCAGCGTCGCGGCGGCGCAGTTGCCCGGCGAGGCCGCGAAGGCGCGGCGACAGGGCCGCAAAGGGCGGCGGTGGGGTCGCACGGGTGGGGAGACGGGGTCGCGGGCGGCTGCGGCGACAGGGGCCGCGAGCGGCTGCGACAACGGGAGCGCAGGCGGCTGTGGCGGCAAGGTCGCGGGCGGCTGCGACAGCAGGGTCGCGAGCAGCAGCGACGGTAGGGTCGCGGGCGGCTGTGGCGACAGGGTCGCAGGCGGCTGCGACGCCAGGGTCACGGGCGGCCGCAGCGGTAGGGTCGCGGGCGGCCGCGGCGACGAGGTCGCGGGCGGCGCGAAGGGCGACGGGGCCGCGACGGGCGGCGTCGGGGTCGCGGGCGGCTGTAACGACGCCGCGCAGGGCGACGCGAGGGTGGGGCCGCGGGGTCGCGAGGGTAGGGCCGCGGGGCCAGCAGAGGCGGCGCCGGGGCCTAAAGGGCGGCGCGACGGGGCCGCTAAGAGAAGCGAAGGAGAGGGGGGGGGGGCGCGACTCGGGCAGGGGCGGAGCGCGCTCCGGGCAGGAAAAAAAAATGGTACGGTGGGCCCTAGGAACAGTTCCCACGAGGGAACCTGCTCTATACCATGTGAAACTTAGAACGAGAATGGTGTGACTAACAGGAATGAGAGTACAAATATGAAACCCTAGAGTTCTGTACCCTCTAAGGCTAAACCCACTGTAGCCTACAAAGCTACAACATGCATAATGTTTGACAGTGGGCACCTCCAGGAGACAACGAACCAGCACCACTCTCAGCTCCAGTGACGTCAGTGGAAGTACCGCCAGGAGCAGAGTCCCGAGCTACAGGAGCGCGACGCTGACGGCGACCGTACCAGTCGCGCAGCTGCTGGGAGGTGAGAGGCACACGCGTACGAAGGCGGCCACTCCAAGGAGACCGCGTAACAGCAGACTCAGAACCCGTAGCGCCAGCACCCGTAGCAGCTCCAGAACCTCCAGCTCCACTGGTAGCTCCAGCAGCTCCAGAACCTCCAGCTCCAGCGCCACCAGAGCCAGTACCTCCAGGCTCAGCACCCCCAGGCTCAGCACCCCCAGGCTCAGCACCCCCAGACCCAGCACCCCCAGGCTCAGCACCCCCAGGCTCAGCACCCCTTGACCCAGCACCCCCAGGCTCAGCACCCCCAGGCTCAGCACCCCCAGGCTCAGCACCCCCAGGCTCAGCACCCCCAGTCTCAGCACCCCCAGGCTCAGCACCCCCAGTCGCAGCACCCCTCGCAGGACCAGAGTCAACAGCTACCTCGACAGGCTCGACCGGGTCTACCTGGGAAACACCTGAGGGAGCAGGACCCTGGGGAGGAAGGGGGTCTACCGAAGGGACACCTGGGGTGAGGAAGAGCGGCGGGGGGGGAAGCGGCGCAGTGCGGTAGGGGAAGAGACGGTAAAAGGGTACCGACTCGTCAAAAGTGACGTCCTGAGAGGCGAAGACACGGCGCGAGGTGGGGTGGTAAAACTGCCAGCCAGGCGCGTCAGGGACAAAGCCAAGGAAGACGCAGGGAACGGCACGGGAGGAGAGCTTGTCCGCGGACGTATCGCGAACAAGGGCTCGACATCCCCAGACACGGAACACCGACGCATCGCCAACCTCCCCCATCCAACGCAGTGTGGGCGAGGTCTCCGGAGCAGAGACACGGGGCCAAAGGTTGAGCTGATGCGCGGCGTACTGCACTGCAAACGGCCACAGGAAATGGGGGGCAGCCGCATGGATCATGGAGGTACGAGCGATCTCCATGACTAAACCAATGCGGCGCTCAGCAACCCCATTTGTTGTGGGGAGTCCGGAAGCGTGAAAGTCTGGCGGATGCCGTGCTCCGCAAAGTATGCGGCCAGGAGGGCGGAGGAAAACTCACCACCCCTGTCAGAGTGCAGACGCAAGACGGGAAAGTCCGACTGGAACCGCTGGCGGAGCTGGAGACGAGCGGCGCGGATCCAAGGGATCAAAACATCAGGGACCTCACCCTTGGTGCGCAAGGGGAAGACCGTGGTGTAGCGCGTGTAGTCGTCGACGACCAGCAGGAAGTACCGCTCGTGGCCCTGTCCCCGGACGCGGGCCGGGCCCCACACGTCCAGGTGAAGAGTCTGCAGGGGAGCCTCTGTGGGAGGGAACGAGGAGGAGTGAGGGGTGGCGCGCTGCCGCCCCTCGACACAGGGAAGACAGGGAGGAGCAGGCGAGGGTGGGAGGGGAGGGAGAACTCTGGGAAGACCAGAGACAAGGTACCGGGAGTGCATGCCACGAAGGCGCTGCACGGAGGGGTGACCAAGGCGGTGGTGCCAGAGGACGGTCTGGTGCGACAGGGAGCGACACGAGCAGGGAGCCGACAGCTGACCTGACGCAGACGCAGACGCAGACGCAGCTACCTAAGGGGACTCAGTGGTCAGTGTGTACAGGTCGGACCCCGGCTGCCGAGTGAAGGTAGCCAGGTGGCGACCCGTCCGAGCACACGTGCAGTGGGTCACCCGCTCATAGGCAGGGGTGAACTGGTGAACACCCCCGTCCTGGAGAGCAGAGCCCGCCACCAAGTTCGTAGAGAACGAGGGGAGGTAGAGACCCGACAGAGTGCCAGACGGGGCCGCAGGACAAGGGAGGACAGTGGAGGAGGTCGCAACGACCGGGCCCCCAGAGGGGTCAGCAAGGGAGACAGCAACAGGCCGAGCTAGCGGCTCAAGGACAGTGCGGTCACGAAAGAAACAGCGTGAAGCACCTGAGTCCAGTGTGAAGGTGTGCAGTGCCGCAGTAGACCCAGTACCAGCAGACGCAGACGCACGAGCACCTAGCGCAGCAGCCTTACCAGTACCAATACCTGGGTCGGGTGGTACACTCAGGTAACAGTCACCCTCAGCACTAATAGTCAATGCATACATGGCAGCAAGGATAGCATCATAATCAAGAGCAAAGACATCAATCCCCTTCCTAAGCAGATCAGCCCAGCGAGGCAGCTCAGAGGCGTCAGGGAACTGCTCGCGCCAGGCGTCGTCGAGGCGAAAGAAACAGCGCTGCGCCGTGTGGGACCTCCCACAAGTCTGGCCAGCGCGGTCACCTGTGCGGATGACGTATGGGCAGGTACCCCCACCCCCAGACCCCCCACGCTGAGAGTACCACTCACGGAGCTGCTGGGGCGAGGGAGTCTCGCCGGGACGCTGCTGCTGCTGCCTCTGGCCACCGCCGAACCCCCCACGCTGCACCGCTCCACCGCGCCCGCCACCCGCTCCACCGCCACCACCACTGCCACCACCGCCCCCACCACCCCCACCACCGTCGCCGCCGCCACCACCCCCTGTGCCGCCACTGACCCCCCCACCACCCGCGCCACTCCCACTACCGCCACCACCCCCGCCCCCCCCACCCCCTCCACCGCCGCCGCCCCCGCCTCCACCTCCACCACCCCTGCCCCCCTTGCCCCTGCCGCCCTTGCGCCTCCCACTAGGAGTAGACGCGGCCCCGATTCCCTCAGCTCCGAGGTAGTCGACAGCAGCAGCAGATGCAATGGAGGGGAGGAGGGGGGAGGGGGAGCACCCCTCAATGAAGGGGGTGCGGGGGTCACCACGAGAGGCACCTACAGCTACAATGCTCTTCTCAACTGCGAGGAGTTCCTTCTCGAGGAGGTCGAAAGTGAGGTCAGTGGGGGAGAGGGCGAGAAACTGGTCCCTGACAGTGCAAAGGGAGTCAGGGAGGCGGGCAACAAGGTGGTATAGCGTGAGGTACATCGGGGGGGGTTCTTGGCGAGGAAATCGGGGGGGAGCGCGGCACGGTAGCGGAGGTCACTGGTACGGAGGTGGGTGATGAGGTCAGCTACAGTGGCAAAGGCGGACAGGTCGGGAAAGAGGTAGGGCAGTGAGAGACGGCCTATAGCAGCAGTGGCAGGGGAGGAGTAGCGCGCGACTACTGCGTCGTACAGCTCTTTAGCGGTCTTATGCTGGCCGAAGTGCTCGCGCTCATCTAACGGCAGGTGGCTGCGAACGGCTAGGCGAGCGTGAGCATCACGGGTCTGCCACTGGGAGCGAGCAGTACTGTCAGCAGTAGCGGGAGGTGCGGGAGCGGCGCCTGACGTGTGATCATACAGGGAGACATCGTCCTTGGCAGTGATCTAGAGGAACAGGTGGAGGTCATCTAACCAAACCTCGAACTTAATCGGGCGGCCCTCAGCGTCAAAGGTGAGGTTAGAGGGAGTGGCCATAGTAGCAGTAGCAGCAGTAGGAACAGTAGCAGCAGTAGGAGTAGTAGTAAAAGTTGCAGTTGAAGCAGTAGTACGCAGGAGTTGCTACAGGTGGGGCACAGTAGGGCGGCGCGGCTTGGCCAGGGCGGCGCGGCTCAGTTCGGGCGGCGCGGCTCGGTTCGGGCGGCGCGGTTCGGTTCGGGCGGCGCGGTTCGGTTCGGGCGGCGCGGCTCAGCTCGGGCTGGGCTACGCTACGGTGCGCGACGGGGGGCGTGCGCGTGGGCGGCTGTAGCGGGCGGGCCGTGGCTGTGCGTGGGCCTGACTAGCGCGCGGGCGGCGGTCTAGCGGGGCGGCGCGGCGGCCTAGGGGCGGGGCTGCGACACCCTGGGCGGCGGTCGACGGGCGGCTAGGGGCTGCTCGTGGGCGGCGCCGGTCGCGCGGGCGGTTAGGGGCCGGCGCGCGCTCAGAAAAAAGGCCGCGCGCGGGCCGCTAGCAGGCTACGCGCGCGAAAAAAAAAAAAAAAAAAAAAAAAAAAAAAAAAAAAAGGCCGCGCGCGGCACTAGCGAGCTGCGCACGGGCAGCAGGAGGAAGAGAGGCGCACGAGGGCGCACTAGGAGAGAGGCGCTCGAGGGCGCTTCTAGCGGTGGGCCCTTAGGTAAGCGGTCCTAGGACTAGGACCTAAGCTCTTAATACCATGTCAGAATCCAAGAAGTGATTGAACTATGAGAACATTGGAGTACAAGTATGAAACCCTAGAATTGTGTACCCCCTAAAGGCTAACCCATTGTAGCCTACACTGCAATAACACATGTATAATGTTTGACACCGGCTTACGCAAGGTACCAACTACATCCTACTTATCGTCCACGTGGACGATCTTCTCTACATCGGCTCAAGCGATGACATCGCGACTTGGTTCGAAGGGGAGTTACGGCGAGAACTCACACTTACTGTCTCATCTACCATAACGCGGTACCTTGGGCTTAACATACAGGAAGAAGAAGACACAATTAATCTCAGCGCCGCGAAATACGCCGACACCATCGCCAAGCATTTCGGACTTACGCCAACCACCATTTCCACACCATACCGCTACACTACTGGAAACTCCAAAGAAACCTCTGCACCACTCAAGCCCGCCGGCATACGCGACTATCAGCGAAAGCTAGGCTGTTTGCTATTCGCAGCTGTCACCTGCCGACCAGACCTATCGTATTCGGCAAGCCAGCTCGCCACCTACCTCAAGAAACCCAAAGCAGAGCACATGGCAGAGCTTGATGGCGCACTCCGCTATCTCGTCAGCACCCCGACGATCGGCCTAACCTACCACAAGAACGGAACTACAGCACCTAAGTTGATCGGCTATGTGGACGCAGACCACGCTGACGACGCCGACAACAGGCGCTCACGCACCGGCTACATCTACCGTTTTGAGCCTATTGGACCTATCTCGTGGCAGTCGAGTAAGCAGGAACTCATCGCCCTCTCCTCAGTAGAAGCAGAATACATTGCACTCTGCTCAGCCACCCAGGAAGGCTTGTATCTTCGCGAACTACTGGAAGAAGCGAAGCTGGCTCAGTTACCCAGCTTCTCTCTGTTCTGCGACAATCAGTCAGCAATCCGCATAGCGAACAAGAATGGGTTCGCGAACAGGACGAAGCATATCGCCCTGCGATATTTCTTCGTGAAGGACGAGATCGAGAAAGGGAGACTCGAACTAGCCTACTGCTCTACATCCGAGATGGCAGCCGACTATTTGACCAAGAAACTTGGAAAGCAGAAGTTCGAATACTGCATGCTGCTGACTAGACAGGGACACGTCACCAGCAACGACACTCCAGAAGCGAAGGGGAGTGTTGGAAACAAGTGACTTAACGCTTCTTTTATGTCGCAACACCGTAAGCGATGCAACCTACAGCGCAGCAGTGACGAGTCAACCGAGGAGGTTAACAGGAAACGTAACCTCTGGAGGTTACGCGAAGGTCAAAGGTCGCCTGACCTTGGACTCGACAGATACAGCGCGACAGCAAGGACAAACAGCTGACTCGTTACAGAGCAGTTGCCCGAGTCGACACTGTATCGAACCGCAACAGCAACATTAAAAGTGGTTATTGCATCCTTTCATATTCTCTATAATCAATCTATCTTGCCCTCACATACTAGCGCAAGGTGGTTCAGAACTTCTCATTAACATGCTTCCGCAATTACAACAACTGTATCAGGAGTTCTATCCTTCAAAAGATCCTAAGGGCTTTTTCTCAGCCCAACAGAAACATCAGTTGTGTAGTCCTCTGCTAGGACTTCGATCCTGAAAACAATACGCTTGACTGAGGCTCGGTGCAGCCGTGATAGTGTAGCCTCGAGAGTGTAACCTCGACTCGAGAGTGTAGCCTTGAGAGTGTAGCTCTCAGAGCATAGCCCCTTTGAGAGTGTAGTGTTAAGGGTGTAGCCCCTCCAATAGCGCAGCTCCTAGAGTGTAGCCTCGACAGTGTACAGCCCCAAGAGTGTAGCTCAGTGTTAAACTAGTATTGTGTCAGGGAAAGACGCAGATCCATTGTTGGGTGCAGGCTCAATCTTCAAGATGCTTGTTATCACATTGTACAGCTGCAGCGACCAGCAAGATGGGTGGAGAGAGATGACGGAAAGAGAAATATAAAACATCCGTTGTTGGGTGCGGGATCATAATTTTTATATGCTTGTTATCCAGTCAAGCTGCACAGCTGTGAGCGTTATCTAAATTCACCTCTGCACCACTAAGCATTCCCTGAAAGCTCACCTCTGTGTTTCTGAAGGTGGGTATTCTGCGGTGGGAGGCAAAGCACGGCCCTCTGGCCATGAATATGGAGCGCATGGAGGCAAGGCGGTGGTCGTAGCCATGTGTGCCACCTTCCCATGCGTCCGAGTGGTGGTATACCACCGTATAGCCCTCGTCTGCCAGAGCCAAGATAGGCTGGAAACGGGGAAGAAGACGGGAAAATGCGGGAGGGAGGGAAAGGAGCAAGTGCGTGTTTCAAAAGCTGGTTACTTTGCCGTGCACTGGGAGGCGAAGCACGGCCCCTGAGCGATGAAGAGGGGCCACATGAAGGGGAGGCGGTGGTCGTAGCCATGCGTACCGCCTTCCCATGCGTTCGAGTGGTGGTGTACCACCGTATAGCCCTTGTCTGCAAGCACCAGGATCGGCTGGAAGGAAGGGAGTAGGCAGGGCGACAGGAAGGGAGCGAAAGGAGAACGGGCGTGCTTCAGAAGTTGGTTAATGTGCCGTGCAGTGGGGGGTTCAGTGCGGTTCAGTGCAATTCAGTGCGGTTCAGTGCGGGCTTCAAGCTGTAAGATGAGCCTCTGAGCTTCTTGTTGATGGCCGAGCCATGAAGATGGGGACGATGGAGGGGAGGCGGTGGTCGTAGCCATGCGTGCTGCCATCCCATGCTGAGGAGAGGTGGTATACCACCGTATTGCCTTTGTCTGCTAGCGCCAGGATAGCCTGGCAAAAGTGGAAATGGTTAAGGGTGAGAGACGTTGTGGAGAGATTACAAGGAGCTTGGATCAACACAACATACAGCCCAAAAAAAAAAAAAAAAATGTTACGCATCACACACAATGAGAAGATGGCCCGATAAGTTACGCAGGTTTTCACTGTAACCAGAATCGTCGAGTAGTCATGCAATATTAACACCGGACAATGCTCCCCCCCTCAATCGCCGTCCTCATAGCCCCCCCCACCACCACCGCATTTTTTGGCGTCTGAGAACAGAACTCACAGGTATTCTGTCGCTTCCCGAAAACTCTAACTCTGCAGGAAATTCCTCCCTCAAATACACCTTCAGTTGAGTGCCTCGCCGCTCGCAATGGCCCCGCCCTCAATCGCCCTCCTCATCACCCCCACCACCACCTCCACCTTTTCAGACGTCTCAAACCAGAACTCACTGGTATTCTGTCGCTTCCGGAAAACTCAAACTCCGCAGGAAACTCCTCCCTCAAATACACCTTCAGCGCCTCTCCGTTAACAATCCCCCCGCCCTCTATCGCCCTCCTCATCGCCCCCACAATGGCCGCCGCATCCATCTGAGCCTCCGGCTGCCGCTGCGCGTCTGTTTGCGGGAGGAAGATGCCGAGAAGCGGGTAGCTGAAGTCGATCCAGGCAGGGGAGAGGCCCGGTATGAACGGCTCAAACTGCTCCAGGGAGATGGCTCGCGACTTGCATGTGGTCAACATGCCATGGTCGCTCACTAGTAGGAGATTTACGTCGTTGGTCATGCTCCTGGAGAGAAGATAAGGAAGTTGGGTGGAAAGCAAAGGGTCATGAATGAACGGCTCGAATTGCTCCAGGGAGATGGATCGCGACTTGCATGTTGTCAACATGCCATGGTCGCTCACTAGGAGCAAATCGATGTCGTTGGTCATGCTCCTGGGGAGGGAAGAATTGATAGGGACAGAAGCTTGTGTGCCGTTCTTCAGAATGAGAGCGAAAGGTATGTGCGGCTCGAACTGCTCCAGGGAGATGGCTCGGCCTTGCATGTGGTCAACATGCCATGATCGCTCACTAGCAGCACATTCACATCGTTGGTCATGCTCCTGGGAAGGGAAGAGTTGACGGGCTGGTTTTTGAGAATTCTCAAAAATCACATCTATGGTCATGCTCCTGGGGAGGGGAGAGTTGACAGGCACAGAAGCTCGTGTGCCGTGCTTCAGCTTGTGTGACATTCACATCGTTGGTCATTCACTCTCGCCTCCCACTCTCGCCTCCCACTCTCGCCTCCAACTCTCCTCTCCAACTCTCCTCTCCAACTCTCCTCTCCAACTCTCCTCTCCAACTCTCCTCTCCAACTCTCCTCCCACTCTCGCCTCTCCATGCTCCCGCCCTCTCACCTTTGATCCAGCCCTGTCAACAGGCGCCCCAACACGTCATCGACCCGCTTTACTGCAGCAGCGACCAGGGGCGTGTCAGGGCCTCCCAGGTGCCCACTCTCGTCGGGCTCCTCAAAGTAGAGCGAGAGGAAGGAGGGGCGGAGAGGGGAGGGCAGGTCCAGCCACGCCAATACTTGGTCCACTCGCTGTGTGAGGAGGGATAGGAGATGAAGGGGAGAGTGGGAAGAGTAAGAGACATGCCGACACTCCCTTGTGGCCACTGTCATCAGGTTTCTCAAAGTAAAGCGAGAGGAAGGAGGGGCGGAGAGGGGAGGGCAGGTCCAGCCACGCCAATACTTGGTCCACTCGCTGTGTGAGGAGGGATAGGAGATGAAGGGGAGAGTGGGAAGAGTAAGAGACATGCCGACACTCCCTTGTGGCCACTGTCATCGGGTTTCACAGCCGTTGGAAACTGCTGCTCGCTGGGATGTCTGAACATACCCTTGTGGCCACTGTCATCGGGTTTCTCAAAGTGAAGCGAGAGGAAGGAGAGGCGGAGAGCAACAGGCAGGTCCAGCCAGCCACGCTAGCACGCACTTGGTCTACTCTCTATGTGTGGAGGGGAAGAAGGGGAAAGTGAGGGAGGGGAAGAGGGATGGACAAGTCAGGTCAGGGCAGTGATTGAAACACTTGGAAAGTCACCGTGAGAGGAAGAAAGGACCTCCGTTGTGCCCACTCCCGTCAGGCTAGCTTTGAGTCGACTCGAAACTAGGCTCTTTAAAGAAGAGCGAGAGGAAGGAGGGGTGGAGAGGCGTCTAGCCATGCTAGTGTCTGGTCCACCCTCTGCGTGTGGGTGCCTCCATTCTGCCCCGCCCATTCGGCCCCGCCCATTCGGCCCCGCCCATTCGGCCCCGCCCATTCGGCCCCGCCCATTCGGCCCCGCCCATTCGGCCCCGCCCATTCGGCCCCGCCCATTCGGCCCCGCCCATTCGGCCCCGCCCATTCGGCCCCGCCCATTCGGCCCCGCCCATTCGGCCCCGCCCATTCGGCCCCGCCCATTCGGCCCCGCCCATTCGGCCCCGCCCATTCGGCCCCGCCCATTCGGCCCCGCCCATTCGGCCCCGCCCATTCGGCCCCGCCCATTCGGCCCCGCCCATTCGGCCCCGCCCATTCGGCCCCGCCCATTCGGCCCCGCCCATTCGGCCCCGCCCATTCGGCCCCGCCCATTCGGCCCCGCCCATTCGGCCCCGCCCATTCGGCCCCGCCCATTCGGCCCCGCCCATTCGGCCCCGCCCATTCGGCCCCGCCCATTCGGCCCCGCCCATTCGGCCCCGCCCATTCGGCCCCGCCCATTCGGCCCCGCCCATTCGGCCCCGCCCATTCGGCCCCGCCCATTCGGCCCCGCCCATTCGGCCCCGCCCATTCGGCCCCGCCCATTCGGCCCCGCCCATTCGGCCCCGCCCATTCGGCCCCGCCCATTCGGCCCCGCCCATTCGGCCCCGCCCATTCGGCCCCGCCCATTCGGCCCCGCCCATTCGGCCCCGCCCATTCGGCCCCGCCCATTCGGCCCCGCCCATTCGGCCCCGCCCATTCGGCCCCGCCCATTCGGCCCCGCCCATTCGGCCCCGCCCATTCGGCCCCGCCCATTCGGCCCCGCCCATTCGGCCCCGCCCATTCGGCCCCGCCCATTCGGCCCCGCCCATTCGGCCCCGCCCATTCGGCCCCGCCCATTCGGCCCCGCCCATTCGGCCCCGCCCATTCGGCCCCGCCCATTCGGCCCCGCCCATTCGGCCCCGCCCATTCGGCCCCGCCCATTCGGCCCCGCCCATTCGGCCCCGCCCATTCGGCCCCGCCCATTCGGCCCCGCCCATTCGGCCCCGCCCATTCGGCCCCGCCCATTCGGCCCCGCCCATTCGGCCCCGCCCATTCGGCCCCGCCCATTCGGCCCCGCCCATTCGGCCCCGCCCATTCGGCCCCGCCCATTCGGCCCCGCCCATTCGGCCCCGCCCATTCGGCCCCGCCCATTCGGCCCCGCCCATTCGGCCCCGCCCATTCGGCCCCGCCCATTCGGCCCCGCCCATTCGGCCCCGCCCATTCGGCCCCGCCCATTCGGCCCCGCCCATTCGGCCCCGCCCATTCGGCCCCGCCCATTCGGCCCCGCCCATTCGGCCCCGCCCATTCGGCCCCGCCCATTCGGCCCCGCCCATTCGGCCCCGCCCATTCGGCCCCGCCCATTCGGCCCCGCCCATTCGGCCCCGCCCATTCGGCCCCGCCCATTCGGCCCCGCCCATTCGGCCCCGCCCATTCGGCCCCGCCCATTCGGCCCCGCCCATTCGGCCCCGCCCATTCGGCCCCGCCCATTCGGCCCCGCCCATTCGGCCCCGCCCATTCGGCCCCGCCCATTCGGCCCCGCCCATTCGGCCCCGCCCATTCGGCCCCGCCCATTCGGCCCCGCCCATTCGGCCCCGCCCATTCGGCCCCGCCCATTCGGCCCCGCCCATTCGGCCCCGCCCATTCGGCCCCGCCCATTCGGCCCCGCCCATTCGGCCCCGCCCATTCGGCCCCGCCCATTCGGCCCCGCCCATTCGGCCCCGCCCATTCGGCCCCGCCCATTCGGCCCCGCCCATTCGGCCCCGCCCATTCGGCCCCGCCCATTCGGCCCCGCCCATTCGGCCCCGCCCATTCGGCCCCGCCCATTCGGCCCCGCCCATTCGGCCCCGCCCATTCGGCCCCGCCCATTCGGCCCCGCCCATTCGGCCCCGCCCATTCGGCCCCGCCCATTCGGCCCCGCCCATTCGGCCCCGCCCATTCGGCCCCGCCCATTCGGCCCCGCCCATTCGGCCCCGCCCATTCGGCCCCGCCCATTCGGCCCCGCCCATTCGGCCCCGCCCATTCGGCCCCGCCCATTCGGCCCCGCCCATTCGGCCCCGCCCATTCGGCCCCGCCCATTCGGCCCCGCCCATTCGGCCCCGCCCATTCGGCCCCGCCCATTCGGCCCCGCCCATTCGGCCCCGCCCATTCGGCCCCGCCCATTCGGCCCCGCCCATTCGGCCCCGCCCATTCGGCCCCGCCCATTCGGCCCCGCCCATTCGGCCCCGCCCATTCGGCCCCGCCCATTCGGCCCCGCCCATTCGGCCCCGCCCATTCGGCCCCGCCCATTCGGCCCCGCCCATTCGGCCCCGCCCATTCGGCCCCGCCCATTCGGCCCCGCCCATTCGGCCCCGCCCATTCGGCCCCGCCCATTCGGCCCCGCCCATTCGGCCCCGCCCATTCGGCCCCGCCCATTCGGCCCCGCCCATTCGGCCCCGCCCATTCGGCCCCGCCCATTCGGCCCCGCCCATTCGGCCCCGCCCATTCGGCCCCGCCCATTCGGCCCCGCCCATTCGGCCCCGCCCATTCGGCCCCGCCCATTCGGCCCCGCCCATTCGGCCCCGCCCATTCGGCCCCGCCCATTCGGCCCCGCCCATTCGGCCCCGCCCATTCGGCCCCGCCCATTCGGCCCCGCCCATTCGGCCCCGCCCATTCGGCCCCGCCCATTCGGCCCCGCCCATTCGGCCCCGCCCATTCGGCCCCGCCCATTCGGCCCCGCCCATTCGGCCCCGCCCATTCGGCCCCGCCCATTCGGCCCCGCCCATTCGGCCCCGCCCATTCGGCCCCGCCCATTCGGCCCCGCCCATTCGGCCCCGCCCATTCGGCCCCGCCCATTCGGCCCCGCCCATTCGGCCCCGCCCATTCGGCCCCGCCCATTCGGCCCCGCCCATTCGGCCCCGCCCATTCGGCCCCGCCCATTCGGCCCCGCCCATTCGGCCCCGCCCATTCGGCCCCGCCCATTCGGCCCCGCCCATTCGGCCCCGCCCATTCGGCCCCGCCCATTCGGCCCCGCCCATTCGGCCCCGCCCATTCGGCCCCGCCCATTCGGCCCCGCCCATTCGGCCCCGCCCATTCGGCCCCGCCCATTCGGCCCCGCCCATTCGGCCCCGCCCATTCGGCCCCGCCCATTCGGCCCCGCCCATTCGGCCCCGCCCATTCGGCCCCGCCCATTCGGCCCCGCCCATTCGGCCCCGCCCATTCGGCCCCGCCCATTCGGCCCCGCCCATTCGGCCCCGCCCATTCGGCCCCGCCCATTCGGCCCCGCCCATTCGGCCCCGCCCATTCGGCCCCGCCCATTCGGCCCCGCCCATTCGGCCCCGCCCATTCGGCCCCGCCCATTCGGCCCCGCCCATTCGGCCCCGCCCATTCGGCCCCGCCCATTCGGCCCCGCCCATTCGGCCCCGCCCATTCGGCCCCGCCCATTCGGCCCCGCCCATTCGGCCCCGCCCATTCGGCCCCGCCCATTCGGCCCCGCCCATTCGGCCCCGCCCATTCGGCCCCGCCCATTCGGCCCCGCCCATTCGGCCCCGCCCATTCGGCCCCGCCCATTCGGCCCCGCCCATTCGGCCCCGCCCATTCGGCCCCGCCCATTCGGCCCCGCCCATTCGGCCCCGCCCATTCGGCCCCGCCCATTCGGCCCCGCCCATTCGGCCCCGCCCATTCGGCCCCGCCCATTCGGCCCCGCCCATTCGGCCCCGCCCATTCGGCCCCGCCCATTCGGCCCCGCCCATTCGGCCCCGCCCATTCGGCCCCGCCCATTCGGCCCCGCCCATTCGGCCCCGCCCATTCGGCCCCGCCCATTCGGCCCCGCCCATTCGGCCCCGCCCATTCGGCCCCGCCCATTCGGCCCCGCCCATTCGGCCCCGCCCATTCGGCCCCGCCCATTCGGCCCCGCCCATTCGGCCCCGCCCATTCGGCCCCGCCCATTCGGCCCCGCCCATTCGGCCCCGCCCATTCGGCCCCGCCCATTCGGCCCCGCCCATTCGGCCCCGCCCATTCGGCCCCGCCCATTCGGCCCCGCCCATTCGGCCCCGCCCATTCGGCCCCGCCCATTCGGCCCCGCCCATTCGGCCCCGCCCATTCGGCCCCGCCCATTCGGCCCCGCCCATTCGGCCCCGCCCATTCGGCCCCGCCCATTCGGCCCCGCCCATTCGGCCCCGCCCATTCGGCCCCGCCCATTCGGCCCCGCCCATTCGGCCCCGCCCATTCGGCCCCGCCCATTCGGCCCCGCCCATTCGGCCCCGCCCATTCGGCCCCGCCCATTCGGCCCCGCCCATTCGGCCCCGCCCATTCGGCCCCGCCCATTCGGCCCCGCCCATTCGGCCCCGCCCATTCGGCCCCGCCCATTCGGCCCCGCCCATTCGGCCCCGCCCATTCGGCCCCGCCCATTCGGCCCCGCCCATTCGGCCCCGCCCATTCGGCCCCGCCCATTCGGCCCCGCCCATTCGGCCCCGCCCATTCGGCCCCGCCCATTCGGCCCCGCCCATTCGGCCCCGCCCATTCGGCCCCGCCCATTCGGCCCCGCCCATTCGGCCCCGCCCATTCGGCCCCG